CTGCTGTGGGCACGGGGCTGGGTGGAGAAGAGGTTCTCCAGCACCGTCAGGGTGGGCACCCGCCCAGGGCAGCAGCAGGACACCCAGAAGCTGCTGCAGAAGGAGGATGAGGACAGTGAGGTGGATGGTGATGACAAGCAGTGGGAGGCAGCGCTGCATCCAAGGCCAGGGTCGGCATTCTGCTGGGCTCAGCCCACAGTGGAGATCCCGGAGCCTCCTGAGGAGGAGAAAGAAGAGGAAGAGGAGGCCCAGTGGTATGATGAGGACCCCAATGGCATCCACAACATGATGGTTAGTGGAGAGGGCCAGGACTGGACTCCGCAGGGCACAGCCTGGGCCGGGCATTGAGGGTGGGATGCGGACTCCACATCTCACTCCGGTCCCCTCTGTGCCTCCTGCAGTCCTCCATGGTGCGGGACCAAATGCCGACCTTGATCTGGACCACCCATTACAACGCTGTGGACTACCGGCAGCTGCAGCGGGACCAGGTGGTGAACCACTTCGCCAGCATCGGAGCCTTCACCACCAAGGTGAGAGCCTGGAGACGCTGGGGATGCGGCGCTGGGGATGAACAGAGGTGACGGTGGGTCCGGCACCGATTGATGCCCTTGTTCATCTACACAGGAGGGGCTGTGTGTCAACCTCCAAAACCTGCCTTGGTTCCACCGAGTTGATCCCACCACCTTCTTCCCACGGTGCTACCGGCTGTGGGCTGAGGACGAGCGTCAGGCCTTCATTGGTGAGCTGAGGCTGTTGCCCTTCTGCCCCCCCTGCCATGTCCCAGGTCCCCCCGTGTCCTGGGCAGGATGGGGTGAGGACAATTCAAATCCTTTGCAGAGGATTTCCACCTGACAGCAGCACGCAGCCTGCTCAAACTGGCTGTGGAGAAGACTGGGGACATGCCCAGGGTGACAGAGCAACCTGACAAGGGGGCAGGTGAGCGTGTTGAGATGGGCTTGGTGGGGATAGTGAGGAGCTCAGGCTCAGGGCCATGGCTGTGGGCTGAGCCTGTGCTCAGGGCTGTGGCTTAGGACCCTGATGCGCCCAAAGCCACACATCTCACGGGTTGCCAGCAGCCATGCCCCTCAGCCCATGCCACCCCCACAGGTCCAGCACTGCCATCAGCCCCTGAGCTGCTGGAGGCCGCACTGAAGGTCTGCAGGATGCAGCTGGACAGCCTGGAGCACCGCGACATCGACTGGGACTCCCAGATGCTCCACGTCACCGATGCCGACTGGGATCGCTTCCTGCGGGAGTACTACAGTGTGGTGAAGTGCGTGCGGGGCGGGATGGCTTGGGGGACACACGCAGCACGGCAGTGCTGGTGCTGAGCCCCCTGTGTTACCACCCTGCAGCAAGCAGGCCAGGCTGGCGCCCAGTGTCCCACAGCAGGAGCAGTGCAGGGCCCTGCTGCGGCAGCGGCCCCAGCTCGGCATGGAGGGTGACCACAACCTTTGGATCATCAAGCCCGGAGCCAAGTCCTGCGGTAGAGGTGAAGCCAAGGGGAAAAGGGGGTTTGGGCACAGGCTCCCTGGCGAGCAGGGGTCTCACTGGCACCGTGTGTCCCTTTGCAGGCATCACCTGCTCGGCACGGCTGGAGGAAGTGCTAGAGGTGGCGGGGAAATGCACAGCGTCCGCGCTGCAGGTGGGACAGTGGGTGGTGCAGAAATACGTGGAGCGGCCGCTGCTCATCTTGGGCACCAAATTCGACCTGCGGCAATGGTTCCTGGTGACCGACTGGAACCCGCTCACCGTCTGGTTCTACCGCGACAGCTACGTGCGCTTCTGCTCCCGGCCCTTCTCCCTGCACTGCCTGCAACGGTGAGTGGCCCCCACCCCGGCACCG